GTCAGGGTCGATGCGGTGGTCAGGCTGAGAGAGCGAGAAGGTGTGGAGCGCTCTGCGCTCAGTGGCCTTCTCCTGGGCCTTCTTGTCTCTCCCCTTCTCTCCTTTCAGGAAGACTCGCTTGAATGGAGACACGATACCAGGCTAGTGAATGAAGACAAAGAGAACAGGTGTTGAAAGAAATTAGAAGACTGTCAAGCCGCCTTACGAAATGCAGTAAGAGGTGAAACGCAATCTGTGTGGATATGTAGCATTTCATACTCTTTAAATTATAAACCACTGGCATCATCTGTTTCTATGAAGCAGTATATCACGAATAATTACAGGGCTTATTCACGTCCACTTCATACATCTGAGGTAGCTGCAAAGGGCTGGCAACACAGTAAAGCAAACCCAGCTACAAGTTAAATGTTCCCCCTCAAAAACCAAGCAGAAACTATATCAAACTGTTGACTGTAGTACAGTATGCCTTGTAATTTCTGCTGACCCTGCTTCCCCTGATGGTGCTAGTTTCTGCAGAGTAATACAGCAGATGCAAAGCCCTCCATGTTACCCAATACGTGTTGCTCAAATGTCAACAACAGCATGTGCAAAAGGAAACTGCATTTTGCAATACTGGAGGGGTTTGCAGTGGAAGTCAGTATAAAGCATGAAGGAGAACCACATCTCAACACTGACCTCAAAACAACCACCACAGATGTGTCACAAGAGAGAATTGTATCGTTCTTTAGCCCTTGTATCACCTTTTAAAAGTCAAAACTATAGCACTGTTAAGTCCTCAGTCAAGTATGCTAATCAAAACCTTGATACATTTCATCAATGGCGTCAAGGCTGTGCACACCATTTCAAGTGCGTTTCTATATTCAAAGCATTTTTTAAAAAGCTTACCTCGTTCTCCATGAACCCTCTCGCAAGAAGAGTCGCCTACTTACGGCAAGCGCACTGCCTTGCGACTGATGCTGCTACGCTCGCACTGTGTAAACTAGTCACCTGTTGCGTCCGCTCACACACAGTGACAGCTGCCAACTGGTGACAGACGCACAGGATCAAACACAGCGAGGGGTGTGACCCCCCTCACAGAGGAAGGGAAGTGTCTGTGTCTCTGTATTCAGGCGCAAGAACAGGAAGGGGACTAGCCACAACTTCCTGTGATGGCACATGCGCTCATGCTTTGAATATTGAAACTCTTAAAAAAAAATGGCTTTTTCATGTTGTTTTGAAAACTGCTTCACAGATTGAAGACAGACAAAAGAGAGCATGTCTGGTGATAATCACTGTTGCTCCAGATCTTCATATTTTATTGTGATGTGATGATTTACTGTCTTGAATCACTCACTCAGGACTCAGCTCTGCAAATGAAGGTCCACACACATCACTGCAAAGCCACAGAAATACAGTTGTAGTGTATTCTATTATGCTAACCACAGAGCTCAAGTCTGCAGGGCTGTTTATACTGCAGATTTAAGTGCAGATGATCTGATGTAGTTCAATACAACTTATTTTTTTTTTCAGCCACCTCATGAAAAGGCCAATGTCAAAATTATAAGCATAAAAATCCAGAAAAAAATAGGTTTCCTAGCAATATCTACAACAGAAAAACGAAAGGGTTACTTTAGTAATCAACAGTGAATGCAGCAAATGGTCACAAAGGTGTATCTGACTCTCACATCACACCTATATTTTGGCTCCTGCATGACTCCATAGAAGCGCACGACTAATGACCAGTGCATTATTTAACAGTACGCAGCTCTTGAAGACAAGTGCATTAACATTTTATGGCTTGTCCTTGTGAAATGTGAGACGGAAGCTACTGTGGTTGACCCCAGTGAATGGCCTCAAGATGAACAAGTGTCTGTTTGGGGAGAGTCTACAAAGAAACCTAAGTGAGGATGAGGTACTGTCTCCTTGTGCTGTGATGGCACACAGAGACAATGAGTGCAGGTGTACTTTCCATCTTTCTCACACTTGAGAACAATGCAGGAATACTCAGAATGTTCATACAGAATAATAGTGATCTATAAGGCTGTTATAGTTCCTGTATTCGTGCTGAATCGTCATGGTATGGGGATCAGGATTCAGTGCACACTGCCTCAAGCACAACACACAGAATGTAGACTGATGCACGCGTTTAACCAAAGTTCACAGACTTGAGTTTCGCTCGGAAACTTTTAGCCATTAATACATACGCTGAGGTTAGCACAACAAGGGGACTGGTGAGTGTCAGTCACACTATGGCGAACGCCAGAGCTGTAAGACCCGCCTACGCCTTCCCGGTCAGTAAAGGAGATTAAGTATAAGACAAGGACGATGTGTGCTTAAACATAGCCAAGACTGAACTAATTGAACATTCCTCCTAATGCACAAGATTTTTTATTACTCTATTTATTTGGTATTTTCAATTTCATAGCATAAGAAGTGCTTTACAGCCTATTATGACCTGTTGGATTTTGGGTAAGTGTTTGTTCAGTGTAATACCAAAGTGTTTGAAATGTTTTTTTTCTTAAATAATGAAAACAGTCTAATAAAGTTTCCAGAGGGAAAAATGCTACCCAAGTCCCCAGCTACAGGATTTTGTCTGTCTTTGCCACTTTTGTCTGTTTAAAATAAATTAAAATAAATATATCCGAATGCATTTGCTTTCTGTTTTTCCTGCTGTACTGAACTCCCACTGAACTGTGACTCTTACACCTGGGTATCAACCGAACCTTGGCTTTTGCGTATCGCTATACTTATCCAAATCTTACTCCTATTTGTCCCCCAACCACCTAAAAACTATGACTACATTTTCCACACTGATGAGGTAAAATGCTAAGATCTTTCTCCGCCTTTCTAGATCTAAATTGCAGCACTTCTGTCACATAAGGATGCTCTTTATTCTTCATTTGTTCATGTTTGAAAGACACTGCCCGTCCAGCTGGACTCAAAGCAAGCTCATGTGTGAGTCAAGCTGTCAGATAAACTTCTCCACATACTTTTGACAGTTTCCAGACTTTAATTGAGTTCAGTTCGCAAAGTGAAAGTAATACTGTATCATGTCATCATATGAAGGGGTCTGAGCTTTCACCTAAACCTGTGTAATTATAATACTCAAACAGAGAAGACATCTGGGCCAAATGCTGTTCATTATCACCACCTAGTGACACACACAAGAACTGTAAGCACCGGTGACACTGATCATTAAAAGTAGAGATCATCATTTCTTAACAGGTGGTAAACTGAGGTCATAACCTGTTTTATAAAAATGAAAACAGTCATTTCCATCTTTATAGAAAGCTACAAAGCATCTAGCGAAGTGAGTAAATATATTTACTTCAAATCTATCCATTTTCTGGCAATAAGTAGGAGACTTCTTATTAGTAATAAAGGTATTTTTGAAAGAAAGTTTTAATGTTATGCCTTATCAAAGTGTGCAGAGTTTGGTTTGGTTACCATTGCTGACAAAAACATTTCCTTGCCACAACAAACCCTCCTAACACTAGGATATCATTTCATTTCCGTCAAAATTTCCCTTCATATCAAGAGGAGGTGGAATTACCTCACAAGCACCATTAGTGTTTTTGTCCTGGAAAAAATGATGTAATAACCAGCTCAATCGCAGCAAAGATGTTAACCTCAGACACTTCACTTCTCATCATGCTTCTCAGGTTGTGAGAGCTTGTCAGTGTCATGTCATGTCATGTCATGCCTAGATATGGTGCCCTTTGGTTTCCCTCTGCAGAGTCTCCTGTGTCTGTTCTACCACACAAAGATAAAAGAAATGTCAGCCGTGTGTGTGAACATGCCGATCTGTCTCCATATCACAGGGGATCATTTGGGTAGCATGTGTATGTAGTGTATGTGTGAGACAAAGCAGGATGGTTAGCACAACCAAAGGGTGCTGATTCCCTTTAGCATGACTGACACTGATAACCGCTGCCTTTGACAGCTGATGGTGAGCACTCAGATCCTCCATGACCCACGCCTACACATAACAACGGGGGTTATTACTCTGGGAAACCTGGTTGTGCTTTCATTACGTTTTAAAGAACACTGTCACTGCGGTTTGTTCTCACTGTTTGAAATCCCACAACAGATAAACCATTAGCTTCATTAACACAACAAGGGCCGACATTTTCCTTTTAATTACGTTACGTTTAACTTAACACACTGGATCTGAACACATCTGGACCACACATACAACAGGGAAAAGAGTGATGAAGTTGGTACGATGAAAACTATCAAAAATAAAAACATCAATAAGCTCACAGTAATTTTGACCATATACCGGTAACGTTTAAAGTTAACTTACAACACTTCACTCGCTTTCTAGGCTCAATCTGTTGCGCCTAATTTACCGTTACCTCTATTTAGCATTAATATCTATTCAGTAAGTTACACATTTCTCTTATTTTAAGTAAAACTGCCTGATTAAAACGTCTGTAAATCTGTCAGTGTGTTAACGTACGTGCTTTGCCCCTGTCCGCTGATGTTTAACGGCTAAACTTAGCCAGCTAACGGCTAAGCTAACCCCGGTCTGACAAGCTAGTAAGTTAGCATGCTAGCTAGCTAGTCAACTTGCTGTGCAAAAAAAAAGTAACGTTAGCTCTGTCAACTGCCCGGCTTACCTTCTTCACTTTTTTCACATCATCCTCCATTTCTATTTAAAGGTCCTCTTCTTCATATTCAGTTCAGCGTGGACACCCAGGTGAGACAAGACATAACTAACGAAGCTTTTTTAACCAGCACTCATCTGAAAGTAGTTAGCTTGCTAGCCTAGCTTAGCTTAGCCTAGCCTAGCATTGGCAAAGTGATGCCCGAATTTGAGCTGATAGCAAAACGCCATCCTGATTTTTGACTCGTTCCACAACCGTTAGAAAAAAAAAGTCGGCGTGCCACCCGTGTGAAAACTGTACGCTTCACTGCCGCTAACACGACTAAAGAAATAGTCTGTTGAGAAGACAAACTCGGATAAAACAGGCAAAACTTTTCAATCGTGCCGCCATTTTGGGCGTTGAGCTGGTCCAGCATGCTTTGCTTTGCTCAAACCAAAACAGCTGCTACTGTTAATGATAGTGGTATCACCGCAGAGGCAGTTTTAAAACGGTAGTTGTCACTTCATGGGCTGCTTTTCAGGTAATATGATAAAAAACTATAATTAAAATACATATAATTGTATTAGGTAACAGAGACATATTTCAGAGCAAAGTATTATAGCTATAAATACGGACAAGGGTTGGTCAGTGCATCAGTGACTACACTGTAACATTTCTTTGATGTAAGGGACTGTTCGTTACTTATGAGAGGGAAGGGGTGGTTCAAAATGGGGGAGGCATGTCAAATAATTTGCTTAGCACTGGGGAGCAACTTGTGTTTTACTTTGGCTTGGAGAGGGGCATACAAATTTAAATGGCTGTATTTTCTATTTATATTACTGCCAATTTTTAAAGAAAACATGCCCTCCAAACCTATGTAAACCTACAAAAGTCGTGTTTTCTTTAAAAAAAAATCTGGTGTAAAATTACACACTTTATCACAGCCTGGAACTGTAAATACAGAAATTATCATTGGATTTTTAAATTTACAACAGTCCTTTAACGCAATGTGTGGGATGAACACTTCCGTCCGAGGAAAACATAACCAAATTTATGCTTAAAAAAATAATATTTCTTATAAATCACTTTATTTTAAATGTCTCATTTTAAATTTTGTCAAAAATAAACTGCACTAACTAACCAGCATGTATGACAAGAATTTAAAAAAAATCGGACTTTTGTCTTCAACTTTTAATGTTCAAACATTAAAGGGTACGTTTTTTAATTATTTTTTTTTAAATCTAACAACTAATTTCTCGCGGAGGGAGGGTCATGCATTTTCCCCAAGTCACTCAGGGAGGCTCAAGGAAAATATTTGTAGTTTTGGGGAAAAACTAGACCAAAAAAAAAAAAAAAAAAGTCACACCTCAGCAACCCCCCTCTCTGACAAGTAAAGAACGGTCCCTAAATTCTCAAATTGTTTTGCCGCTTTTAACAACTTTATGGCAACTTGTTTTTTTGTTTATCACTCAATAACCCTATAAACAATAGGCTTTTATTCACAGCTAAAATTTTTATGTTTAATATCAGGAAAAAGTACAAGTGGCACCTTTCTTTTTAAAGCCATACCCTTGATGTAGCACACCTACATTGGACAAAAATTTAAATGCACTTTTGTTTTTGCTCCAATTTTTCACAGGGTTAAGTTAAAGATTTAAGACTTTTTTATGCACTCAGTAGATACATTGCTCTCAAATTGTGGTCGCAACTTTGTGTCAGTGGCACTTGTCCTTTTCTAAAATAATCCATCCACCTGACAGGTGTGGCAGATCAAGATTCTGATTACACAGCATGATTACAGCACAGGTGTGTCTTGGGGTGGTCACAGTTAAAGGCTACTCTAAAATGTGCAGTTTTATCTTAAGAAAAAAAGGACATCAATCAGGATTTCACATGACTGCTACAGAAATGCATTTGTTTTGGTCACAAATACCACAAAGAGTCAGTAAGTGTCTGGTGTGACCACTATTTGCTAGTTGATCAGGTTGTTGTGGCCTATGAATTTTTTTTCCCCACACCGCTTCAGTGGCTGTGTGAAGTTGCTGGATTTTGGCAGGATTTGGAACACGGTGTTGTACATGCTGATCCAAAACATCCCGAACATGCACAATGGGTGACATGTCTGCTGAGTATGCAGGCCGTAAGAACCGGGATATTTTAAACTTCCAGGAATTGTGCACAGATCCTTACAACATGGGACCATGTAACAGTAACATGCTGCAACATGAGGTCACGGCGGCGGATTAATGGCAGGACAATGGGTCTCAGGATCTCGTTACAGTATCTCTGTGCATTGAAACTGCCGTTGTTTATAGTTTATGCAAGTCCATACCATATAACCCCACCACCACCATGGGGCACTCTGTACACAGCGTTGGCATTAGCAAACCACCCGCCTACACAACGCCCTACACGCTGTCTGCCATCTGCCTGGTGCAGTGGAACATCGGTGAAAAGAACACTTCTTCAAAGTGCCAGACGCCATCGATGGTGAGCAGTTGCCCACTCACGTCGGTTAAGATGAGGAATTGCTGACAGGTCAAGCCCCTGGTGAGGATGACGAGCATGCAGATGAGCTTCTCTGAGACAGTGTCTCACAGATTGTGCAGAAACTCTTTGGTTGTTCAAACTAACTGCAGCTGTTTGGGTGGCTGGTCTCAGATGATCTTGACTTGGGTCAGTTGGATGTACTGCCATATTCATGGAAACGACTTTGGAGATAGCTTATGGTAGTGAGATGAACATTCAGTTCACGGGCAACAGCTCTGGTGGACATTCCTGCAGTCAGCATGCCAGTGGCACTCTCTCTTAAAACTGGGGACATCTGTGGCATTGTGTTGTATTATCAAACTGCACATTTTAGAGTGGCCTTTTATTGTGACCATCCCAAGGCACACCTGGGTAGTAATCATGCTGTGTAATCAGCATCTTGATCTGCCACACCTGTGAGGTGGATGGGTTATCCTGGAAAAGGAGATTCAGTCACTATTGTACTTTAATGAATTTGCAACCAAAATTTGGGAGAAATGTATCAATTGAGTGCGTAAAAAACTCTTAAACCTTTAATTTAAACCTGTGGAAAATAGAAGCAAGAAGTCTGTCTTGCCCTGAGTTTAACTAGAAGTCTAAAAATACTACTGGCACATTGAGACTGTTAAACGCAGGTGTTTCACTTAGTAAGAGACAATTTTGAGTCCCCATCAAAACAATGTCTTAATACCCTGTTTACAGTTACCATTTACTTTCCTTGTTTTGCTAGAAAGGAGAACGACGACAACAAAGAGAGGCAGATGGGACAAGTGGAGAAAGAAAGAAAACATGCTCAAATACAGCAAGAGGATACGAGAGCGATGAAGAGACCAGTCACAAAAAGACGGGTACGCTCTGTACACATACAGTAACTGTCAGTGGTATTTACATTTTAATCATATGTATTGGTCTTCATTTTCTAAACCTGTGTATAAAGCAGGTGAAGGGAGTTGTATCAGTTATTTGTGAAACGTCATTTTGATTGTTGATGCCCTCTTTATGTGAATTGTGATTTTTTTTAGGCAAATTGTAATTACTTAGTGCTAAACTACAGATATTGGGTCTGAATGTGTTATGTGTAATGGTAATTAACTCAGGTGCAAATAGTAATACATGTAGCATCAGTGTAGGTAATGATAATATTTTATGTGCAGTATAGAAAAATAGAGTTACATTGTAGATTTTAAAATTTCACCCATCAAAGCATGACTCTAGACCAGCCCAATCGCCAGAAGAAAATGTTGGCAGTGTACATTTCTGCAAACCACAAATACGTTACCTTTGTGTGTTTCATCAAATCGTTTCTAGCATGACGTAGTATATGAGCTGACTTTGTAATTGGGAGGTGGAGCAGATGGTGTATGGTGCGTCACCTAAACGAAATGCCAGGGTTAGGTTTGGGGTTGTCACCTAGATCAGTAGTTCCCGACTGGTGGGTTGCAGTCCAAAAGTGGGTTGCAGGCCCATTCTGAATGGGCTGCAAGTGACTCGCAAACATGTCAAGTTTGTAAAAAAGAAACACACAATATTTTTTAAGTACAGTTAATTTTCAGCACAGAGGTTTTATTTTGAAGTGCTGTTTTCTGCTGTAGAGTAACTGACAGCTACTTCAGAGAGACAGCAAACTAGCTCAACGACATGGCCAAATGCAAATATGATGCTGAATGTATTAAACTGTGGGACCTTGAACTAATGACTAAGGAAAAGTCTTGACACTGTAGCCTGACCAGTTGGGAACCACTGACCTAGATGAGATGCCTGCAAAGCAGCAGGCGACTGTTAGAGACCAACAAACAAGTAAACCTGTTTTGTAGCAACCAGTCCCTGTGCTTCCAGCAGCTTTTTAGTTTTGTAGTGACCTGTCATGGTTTTCTCCACTGGGAATAGTGGTACGAAAAGCTGTTGTGTTTTACCAAGACATTGCTGCTTTTCCATTTTAAGCCAAACCAGTTTGGCATTTTAACCATAACCAGTGTTTTTTGTGGCTAAACCTAACTACACATTAACCACAGCTTTGTTAAAATATAAAGTTTTAATGTAATCGCTACATAATAATGTACAAATGTACCTTATCTGTGGTTCGTAGAGACGTATAATACCAACATTTGACCAGACTCATCCTCTGGTTAAGTCCACTGACCCGAGAACTGCTTTTGCAAGTAGAGAAAAAAGTATCTTAACATCTATATTTTACTTATTGTTCCATTGTGCAAAAGAAATTACTTAATAATCACTGATGTGCAAAATGATTTCATTTAGTGCACCCATGTTAAAAGCTGTTCCACAGACGGTTAAACCACACAAGTGTTTTCACTTATCATGCCTGATTGGCCTTTTCTCAGCTTGACTGTCATCTCTCTCATTGTCTTCACTTTCCTTGATCATTTATATTCATGCATCACTTTGGTGTCACCACATACAGTAATCCCCAGCCACACAACTTCAACCTGTGACGGTCTAATCAAAGTAAATGAAAACACCTGTGTGAGTGTGCAGGGCTTTAATTAGCTAAATGAACCAATCACAAGCATTATGTAAGGACACATTCACTGTGTGTGGGCCACATGTTGCAGCTGCTTTCATCCGTTGAAATGTGAGACGTGCATGTGAATACAGCACCGATATATTGCACTTTCAAATACTATATTTATTTTTCTCTTCTGGGATGAACAGTCTGATATATGAATCTACAGTAAGGCTTAACATTACATTTTCAGCATAATATTTCTCTTTTCATCTAAAAACCAAAACATACAAAAAGAACTTTAGCACCATATGTTATTAATAATATTCATATTGTTCCCAAAAATAGGACATCAGTTTTGCTTTTTTAAAGAACTGGGATTCCATGAAACAATTTACTTACATTTTATATTTAACAACAACAAAGAAACCATTCCTTATATGTTCTCGATCACAACATGGGTTGTATGAGTACACGTTCGTAAAGATGCTACAGACTGTAGCGAATTTTGCTCACTGACATTGTGCCAACTCTTTGAATACCCCGCGTAAATCATATAGTCTAGGGAGTATCCTGATAGATTTGTGAAATACACCAACAAGCTAACACAATCTAGAAATTGATTGAATATAAACAAAGCAATATTTCCCAACACCTTTGATAACAATTTCAAAAATCAGCAGCAATTAATATGACAACCATAGTCGCTTCATTGGAATATCAAATCCATTTTTAAACAAAATATTACAGCCAATTCTACAATAACAACAAAAATAGATACACACAGATTAAGGACATATAGATGACAGGAATTTACAACACAGCAATCACGTTCTATATATTTTTTTAACCCAAATTCCAGTAGCAGAAGTACATTTGTGCTCCTGTGCTTTTGCCAAGAAGATGCATTTTATCATCTGCCAGTTTAATTCTCTCAGAGAAAAGAAAGAAAGAAAAGTCCTAGTGCAGATTGAATCATAGTAAAACAAAAAACATACTGTATGCTGAAACCAGTATATTAAACATTATATGAACAGAGGAACAGAGTTGTTTTTTGTGCAGGTTGGAAAATCAAAATGGCACCATTGAGAGTTGAGTTCTGCTGTAAACTGTGTGGATTTGAGGTGCGAGCTCTCGAGCATTTTTGAGACTGCGAGTTTGTCAGTCAACCGGAAGGCTATGCTATCAGAAAGCTAAAAAGGTGGACTGCAGTCCACAGTGGTAGCACCTTTTAAATGTATTTATTCAGCACCAGGTTATTAACAGAAATCAAAGAAGGTTTAAACGTTTAAAAAAAAGAAAATGCACCGTTTTATCTTCTGAACTGCTCCAATGGTCAAACAGATGGTCGTGACACAAAGGTACAGACTGAAACCAAGTCAAACACTACAATGACCTGCTGCTACACATTAATGCAGAAATCAGAGGGTTTGTTGTGCAGTCGAGAGCACGTCCATGCTAAATGTCGAGGGTCACCTCACAATGACTTCTAAAGGCATGCTGGGAGGTGGTGGGAAAACCAGAAAATGAGGTTATTCAAAAGTGAATCAGTGATCGGGCCTGTTTCATCATTCCATTGTAAGAAAATGCAACGTAATCGTTTTTTTTTTTTTCTTTTTTTGCGCATGTTGTCATCATCGGCTTCTTCCGTGTTTTTATTCCAACTGCAGGCATTATTGTTTTGGCTAGAGGATGTTAATTTTTCACACGAGACAAACGACACAGAAAGTTTACGTCTTGGCACTACAAATCATTCATCATTGCAAGACAGAAGAAGATGTAAAGGCATAGACAAAAGTACAAAACAATCGTTGACCAAAATCGCTCGGTATTGTGGCTGGCATCTGTTAAGACTATCCATCAAACAGTCCAAATCTAATGCTTTTGAGCTCAGTCCAAACTGCTAATTGTACCTCGCCGAATCAACCCGGGGCTGTCGTAGATTCAGCTCGCTAATAAAGATGAGGAAACCCTATGTTCAAGTACAGAAGATGTTCAGTATTGCCTTACTTTTTCTCTGATGTCTTTGACAGAAGCAATAAGTGGGTTTCACACTGCGCCCACTGCTTGATTCTGTCGCACTGTGAAGTTTAGTTGGAGCACTGTAACTAGGAAACAGTGCAGTCCTGTGGATGACAACTGGGATGAAAGACTTAAATGGCGTCATCGACTGAGGTGTGAGCTGACAGAATTGAGAACTTGGCTTGATCAGGTTTCGGGGAGACAGACAGGGAGAATATTGTTTGGTGTTTGTCGTCGTCTTGAGTGAGCGTGCTGGCACATGAAACGAGTAAAGAAAGACATTGGCATTGTTGTTTGCGGACCTGGCTGCCATGGCTGGATTGAAGCACCCAAAGTAACAAGGCACAACAAGGACTGAGAAGAACAAGCTTGCTGTTCAAACGCTCTTGCTGTGTGTTGCGGCTGTCGAGGGATGTGGAGTCGGGCGGGTAACCTGACAGAAACAATTCTCTGTAGGGGATTTCTTTGTGACCTTGTTTATGCTGTAGTGTGGCAGCCTGAATACTACACTGTGTAGCTTAGCTCTTGAAACCCGTGTGTAACTTTAAAGAAACCAAGAAAAACACTAAACTAAAACCCACTCGTTAACCAGCTCCTAGCTAACCCTTTTAACTAGATAGAGAATGTGGCAAAATCTATGATTGTTCTGTAGAAATACGTAAAATATACGGCATGTTTCATAAAAATCCAGACTTGTACATATAGACTCTTTGTAGACTTAATTAAAATTAATTAACCGTCATTACCACTATTCTAATGACACAGTTAAGCAAGCATAAATACTCTGCGTTTTACGACATTAAGCACCACTAGATGAAATGCAGCCCAGTTGTACATAATCGTGTTTATGATGCTATATAATACAGTCATCCCACACACACACACACACACACTCACACACACACGCACACACATGCTCAAATGAATGAATCACAGTGTATTTGCACCTGATTTGGACATGTGTCCACGTCTGGAAAAAGGTCAGCAGTGTTTAGAAAGGATGCACCATACGCCAGGCAGCCAACTACCACAAAAAACGGCCCCAACCCCCCCCCCCCCCCCCCCCCCCCCAAACCCCAATAATAAGAATGAGCATTCCCAAGAAAACAAAAAAAATGTGCAAACCATAATTTAGTGGTACAATCCCAGCCGAGGAGTGGTCCAGGATGCATTATGTTAAGGAAAAAATGGAGACCCTTGAGGACATGCCTGGGGATGAGAACTGCATTGAGACACCCCTGAGTCAGCTGGTTCAGTGGTCTTGGTTGTTGGTCCTGAGGAACCCCTGTATTGGCTGTTTTGCTTAGTTTTTTTTTTTTCAAAGTTTACAATACTTATTCATTATTTATTAATCGACTAACT